GAAAACATTTGAAAGAGAAACAGAGAAATATCTTCCATGCAAAGGAGATAGAGGAGAATTTTATGCCAATCCAAATTGGTAAGAATCATTTTATACAAAGGAAAAGTGGAAATGTAACATACACATTTACACGGCACTCTACAAGATCTAGTTATTAACTATTATAGCGCAAAATAGAGTTTAAATTAATTTTATACACAATGAATAAAGATCAAAATTCAAAACCCTTTTCTCACATATTTTCACTCTGATCATCACGTTTACCGATTCATATTTTTAAAATAAAATAAAAAATCAGTTGCAATACTTTTTGGGTGTGCATATCTACATATAGTTATATATATATGTGGCTGAACTTGAGTTTGGAATAGAATTTTTTTAGGTAGGATTAGTGGAACTGAATTCGGAACCATATGTTTAACTGTGGAGATTTGTGAATCAAAATCGTACAATTAGTATGGCTCATAAGTTGATTGATGATTATTATTTTTAATTAAACTAGATAGGCCCATCTTAAGCATATATAGATGAATTATTTAAGGAATTATTATTCCGACAGGAGATTTTGCTGCCAATGCACTGTGATGGGGAATCTTAGCATTACCTGCATTAATTCAAACTCAAGCGGTAACGGAGATCATAACCTAATACACTATTGGATGGAGAATAAGAATAATAATGCCACTGTTTAAATGTTTGAAATATTGGACTGTTTATTCCTTTCATAAAATACTAGTACGGAACCCAAACTAAGATACTCTACAACAGTGCAAATTATTATCGGAGTCTTGACACTACATTGCCATCTAACTGTTTTTTGAATGAAACTTTGAAATCGATATTATCGAATAATCATCAATTTGATGTTTAACATTAAAAACAAAATTTAATTCTAAACTTTGATAAGTATCAATCAAATTTGGTCCTTCACATTCAGAAAATGCAATTTAGCTCTTCATCACTTTGTTATTTGACAAAACTAAGTGAGTTCAACCTTTCACTTTGGCAATTACCGATTAATAATTGTGAAATTTATGGACTAATTATTGAACCATGATATTTCTTGTATCAATATTAAGGATTAATTAAGAATCAAATTAAAATATATGAATAAAATAAATATTATTCGGTCATAAAATTTTATATATAATTTATTGAGTTTTATAAAAATCATACTAAATTAATTACTTTGAAAATTGTTCTTACCAAAATTTGATAAGATTAGATACCAAACTTCTTTATCTTTTCGCATATAGGTTTTACGTTTGATTTTGTCTCTAATCTCCATTTTTTCTATTGTTGACAATAGGGGATGAGTATACATGCAAAAAAGACTCCAACAATTAAGTTAATTTTTGAGTATTTTAATCTAAAGTATACATGTGTATCTCATATCTTGGTAATTGCCCTCTATGTAATTGGATACATGTATATTGATGTTTTTCCTTAGATTAATCATATCAGAATAATTGAGTTATGTCATCCAAGGTTATAATGTCTAACTTTATAGATTAGTTAATCATTTAATTCAACCTTATAGATTCGCTAGTCCAACCTTATAGGTTGGTTAGTATAGTGTTTATTTATTAAGTTTGTTGTATCAAGAATAATTAAATTAATTTATTTGAGATCATTCTGTCAATCTATAAGATTGACTAATAATATTCATATATGACTTACTAGATTGATGATTAAATTATCCAGTCTTATAGGTTGGTTGATATAGTGCCCAATCTTATAGGTTGGTTAGTGAAAAAATCATACTTATATAGAGAAGATTTTTAATTGATTCACTTTATGAAAAAAAATTACATGCATAATACATAAAAAAAAATCTTAAATTATTGAGTAGTTATTAAGTTCAGCCATTAATTTTTTTTTTTTTAAATGTTGAAGAACAAATTCACCTATTATGTCAATAATAGTGTAATTTTTTTTAAAATTTAGTTTACCTTTTAATATTGAATTTCATTTCAACTCATTATAATTATTAAGATTTTACTGAAATTTTATTCAAAATGTTTACTAATTTTTTTTAAAATCTTAATTTTAGAGTGTTTGGATAAGTTTGAAAAATATTATGATAGAATTTTCTTTATATATTTTTTTTTGTAGAAACAAATTGTTTTAATTTATGGAGAAAAATTACTAAAATATTCCGTTTGAAATTTTTATTTAAAAAAGCTGTCATCACAAAGTTTTATTTTTATAATATAATTTATTTAAAAGAAACATAAACAAATATACCTCATGCACCTACAGAGAGAACTAAGAGCAGTTGAATTTGCACTAAAAATGTGCATCATGTGGTATTGTTCAAGCCTTCGGGTCGGGTCACCAGCGAACTCAATTTGCTTCGGGCACACCTTCATGTCTCTTAAGAAAATGATTGTGATAATGATTCATGAATACTAGAGTCACTTTTTACTTACGTGATTAGGTCTAAACCATGAAACAAATGCTAGCCTTTCTTTTATTTTATTTTTTGATACATAAATGCTAGCCTTTCTAATTGCTATACAGGGCAGCATGAAGCAAAATCAAATTATTATTGTATGTTAGCACCAAAATCAAGGAATGGTTACGTCAAATTTCGATATGCATGTGAAGCACAAAGTCGGCAAATTCCATCAAATAATAAAAGTCATAACAACCCAGCAAGTTTATGGTCAATTCCCACTTGAAAACCCACCACAATCAGTCTCACTTTCATTCCATGCAATTGCTATGAATTATAGCAACTTTTTTTTTTTTTTTCTACTTTAGCTACAGTAATATGTAAAGGGTTGTGCCTCTCTCTTCTTAATTTATATTTTCATGTGACTTATAGTTTGCTTTATAGTGGGGATCTAACAAGCATCACTTTCAAGCATTGCCCAAGGCCAAGGCTATGGCTCTCTAGGTCTTCAAGGAAGATTCCACTGAGTTATACTCTTAGTCCTAGTTGATGGACACCCATCACCAGCTATTAAACCTATCAATGGAACAAAGACATGGGTTCTTAGCCACTGCTTGTTGCCATCATGCCACTCAACTCAGGCCAGAATTGATTGAGGGGACAATAAGGAGTTGTGAAAAATCAAATCATTCTAAAAAGTTCTTATTTATCTCAGCTTAAATGATGTGAGTGGAATTTTAAGTACTAGTGATAAATCAAAATTACAATTGTGACTATGAAGTGGTGCTAGTTATTATTGACAGATAGAAAGAATAACTTAAAAACACAAACCACATTCAAATTACTAAGGAAACAACTGGTTTCCAAGAGCAACTTTAGAAAGATTGAAGCAAATTTAACTATTTTTTTGTTGACTCCAAAGAAGATCGATCAAATGCTAATGCATAATCTCTCTCATAAATTCTGGTATAACTAACCTTCAAATATTGTTAGCTCCCTTGTTGACGCGCGTGTGTGACCCACGAGGGCCAAATTGCACTTTTTTTTTCACCTGGAAATTGGACCATACGCCAAAGCACACACCTGTTGGCTATTGTAGGTAGTTAAGGAAAGTACGTAACGTCCTTATCGTAAGGTAAATCAGTAAATGTGCTGCACATAAAGTAAGAAGCAGTACCAAAACTTTTGAGTTAGAAACACAAGGGACTAGAAAAGAAACAGAGAAAGCGATGAACAATATGAATTTTTGTTGATGGGTATAATCAACATCAGTCCTTGCTTCAAGGGAAACATTTTAGTTGTACTTTTGGATCAATACTTCTATGATATGCACTTTTTATAGATCCTTTTTTTTTCACGTACAAGTCAATAATAATAAAAGATTTAATTTAAAGCAATTGATTGAATAAAATATTATCAAAGTTTTAATAATTGGTTGATAAATTTAGACTCAATCAACACAAACTAATATTACGTAAACAACACGTTACCATAAAAATCACCAGAAATTTAGTCAATTTTATTTGATTTGAGGAAAAAAGCCAAGAGAGTTGATGTGTATTGGAAATGCTTTATATAAGAAAACGAAAGTCTTTAAGCTTGTATACCCTGAACATGTGAAATGCGCCTGATATCGTAACAGGTTATGATGGAACGTGCCAAAGCAAAACGAAAGCTTAAGGCCGGTTACTTATTTTTCTCTTTACACATGCTCTCACCTTTAAGTCCTGTGTCATGAACAATCATATCATATTTACCATCTCCGCATGTGATCAAAAAATGGTCCTCTTGTGGCCCTGGAGAAATGACAGGGTGCTTAGGCTAAGCTTGGATCACCTTCCTATCTTTTTACCTCTACTGTTCTGATCAAAGTGAAATTTTTAAGGGCATGAATTCATAAGCTAGAAAGAGAGAGATTCTCATGGTCTACATAATCGGGTCAACATGGGCTAGGTCAGATACTACAATTTTGCCTTTTGCATGCTTACTATTACTGGAGGATGCTTGACTGCGAATCAGAGACCCACTATATTTTCTTTGAATATTAACAGTCAGAACTCAGGACCTCAATCTAGCTTCAGTGCTTCACTTTCAAATCCTTATTTTCTTTGTCTTTTTATATGACAATATCTTTGACCAACACAGCCAGGTGGCGGCAAACAACAGAACTAGTTAAACCCACTTAAAATCTGGCAAGAAAAAGGAGATTCTTAGCAATAGCTGCAGCAAATGAGTTAGTGGATTCCCACCCAACATTTACATAACCTGCTTTATGTGTTTGGCTGCATCCTTATCTATGTAAAGCAAAACATCCGCATCGTGAATAAAATAGTGCATTATCTATGAAGAGTAAAGACTACATGAAATGCACTTTGAAATTTTAAATCAGCACAAGAAAGAATCCATCTTTAACCCGCATGTACCCGAATAGGATTCAGAAGAGGCAGACCACAGAATTTAACATGTGCAGCCACAAGAAATATATTGCAAGCTTCACAAATAACGTAAATAGATAAACCATGAGACATTTAAGATCTTTCGTACACAAATGGACAATAAAAAGAGTGGTTTATAAAAAATAATTCTATCTCACCCACAAAACTTTAAAAACAAAATCAATTTTACTATTACAATATCAAAAAGCTTACATTATCTCGTAGCTGAACAAAGGACTTATCGGATGGTACCATCAATTTGGTAACCTATCCACTACAGTGTCTAGAAACGTGATATTTTCTTTTTCACTCTATTTTGCATCTTAGAAACTCCCCCACCTTCGACAAAAATATTGTGAATCTATATCAATTACCAAGTACTCGTATATTTCTTAATTTGCTTAATTTGGGACTTACATGCCAACGAAAATTTTAATAAGATCTATAATGATCGCCAAACAAAAGAATATGGGAAAGTAAAAAGTTTACAGATAACGAAGCTCTATCTACATTCAAATAGATACATTGCCACATTTAGCTGCTCTTGTATTTTTGCCTCCACAGAAGAACGAAGACAAATCCAAGTAAGCCATGAAGTCCATGATTAGCATAAGTATATTAGGCGACAAAGAATATGAAGATCATGAGGAAAAGTATCAGAATGGCAAATATCTTTATTAGAAGCCACCTATTTGATGAAATTTGGTTGAGATGCCTCAATAAAGAACTGTGAGCTCCTTCAACATTTGCCAATGACTCATCCATATTGTCATCAATCCTGCCCATGCAAGTTAGGCATATTTAATGCTAATTGCTAAAACAAATGAACATCTACAGCTTCGCATACAATAATATTGTAATTCAACTTTTTTAAAACATACCAAAACACAACCATAAGTGGAGGAAAAATTAGTGCACTACAGTAACTGACGTGTCAAATATTTGGGTGAAACGAGAAAAACCTGATAGCAAGCTCCCCTTGATGGGCAACCATTGTAGCCAAATGCGAAAAAATCCCACTAAGTTCTGTGATAGTAGATTCCACATTGTGCAGAGCAGTTGCCCGACTTTGAGCATAGTTCTCATGCCGAGGAACAACCTGCTGTATCATAGACATTTCCATTTGTTGAGATGGAGTGTTGTCCACAGCCAACCTCCGTCTGTGTCAGAAAATTTACCAAATGTTATAATTTAAGTTAGACAATATGTACATCCTAAGCAAGCCTTAAAATTTTAAACAATTCATGTCCCAAAAGCAACACATCTCAAGAATCAAAGGGTAAACTTTACCAGAGAATTCATAAGCTTGATTAGGTGTTAGGAGAATAATTGAGATTGTAACAAGCTCCGAATTGAATGAGCACATTAAATAACTATCTTTTGTGTCATTCTGGTAATTACCCACTCAATTTATGCAGAGCAAATTATAAATAGAAGAAATGCAAAAATCTAAGATGTTCAAAGCTTTAAATAGATGCTATTCTAATTTTTTAGAAAAGCTATAAGGGAATACTGGAAAGAAAATTACTCTAAAATCAATATAACAGGTGGCAAGATGTCTGTCAAATTTCAATCAATATAAGATGCAAAACCCTTGTATTAAGAACTGAAAATAAAACAAAAGACAAGCCAAATATTTTGATATTTATAGTATTGAAGTGATTTCTATGATAAATTATGACGTAATCACCAATCAGATGAATTGTGGATACAAGATACTGTACAAAGAATAAGCAATTATTAAGTTTTCAATGAATACTGTGAATTGATAAACCATATCTAAATAAATTAACTAATAAAAATAACTAATACCAAACAAATGATTATTCTTGTTGGGCTAGAAGTTTAATTCATTCGTGCAATGCAGACAAGACCAGTCAAGCCCACTAAGAGAGAGAAGTATGTCCAATTAAGTTTGAACCAGAAAAGAAACCCATGCCCTGTCTGACAGAGGCTTCCCAGTCTTAGAAACTTAAATGGTTATCCCCTACCCACATTATCAGGTTAATATGCTAACTAGGAAAGGCCTATCATAGTTGCTAGCTATTCCCTCATGTATTTGATTATGCTTGTAGCAAAATGAGGGAAAAATTAGAAGATGCTTTGTAACCCAATAGTTATCACATAATAGTGACCAAAGAATATGCACTCAAAAGAGTTTAATTGCAAACACAGTTGGAGATTTATGATCCACGAGAACCAATTGACAGCAACTTGTTTTTACATGAAGTGCTAGTTTAAGATGATATTTGGACTTTTTAAGACCTACATATTACCATGCAATATAGAAATGTAAAGGGGGCAATTTGATCTTAATATCTTACAGCTTGAAATGGAAATTTTAACACACCTTAGTTGATTGCCAACAGGAGCTCCATTTGATGGTAATCTGCATAACAGATAAAGATGCACAAACCCAGCATTAAAAACTAGCAAATTTACAAATTGAGAGGAGCTTCAGAATTAAGAAATGACATTTGAAAGAGAGAAAAATAAATAAATAAATTACTCAGTCAAACTGCATTATAATTTATAAATATCTTGGTTTCATCGTTAAATAGAAAATTGTCATTAGCTATATCATAGTTCATTTTGGGTAGGTACAATGCCAAAACTTGTGATGTCACATCCCAAAGATGACATAAAATTGTTAGTGGAAGTAAATTACATGGGAAACAATTATGTAGTTGAGAGATTTTAACAATGTTCCACAGGTTTGGGTCATTTGGCTGATATTAACTGAGGCAGCCTACTGAAAATCAATGCCTGAAAGGGAATTCAGAAAATGGCTAATGACGATAATTCTCTCAAACAGTTTAAAGAACAGTTCAGGAGTTCAGGTTTATGTAATTAGCCCATATTGGAATATGAAAGAGAAAGCATTAGATCTTCTACTCAGATTAGCCAGGCTTTGGCCTTGCATTAATTAGGACTCCAATTTTGAGTACGAGACACACTGTTCACAGCAAGAGGAACAAGGATCACCTATCAACATATGAAATATATATGTTCTGCTTCTCTTGACTACCACCGTGCCTATTACTTATCTAGTTAAGGATATCAAAGTCAAAAGTCAAGCTTTTTCTTTCTGGTACAAGAATTCAAGATTTGGATGGCATTGTGTACATTAGGAAAGAAATGAAGTTTGGATAGTGGGGAAATAAGATTTGCTAAAATATATATATATATATATATATATATACATATATATATAAAGAGCTTTGATAAGATCCATGCCACATAACTCAGAACTCAGAAACTACTAGCATCCAAAATATGACAAGAATATTCAAGTGTAAGAAACCTAAAAAGTTTGAAATTTGGGCACACCAACAGTGAACTCCCGACTATTTACAAATGCATAGTAACAGGTAACTACCACAGGAGCCAGGTTTTTCATTTTGAATATTTTGCCAGATTCCCTAATTTTATTTTACATTATGGAAGTTCAGAAGGAATATTGATGTCATGGCATAACGACAAATGTTAACCTGTAACTTGTTGGGGAAAAAAAATACTCACACTGATTCTTGTTGCAAATTCTCAGATGCATTTGATGAATTTGACCAAGGTGGCGGCTCAGTGGCTGGCTTTGGCTGATGCTGGAAAGGGTTCTCTCTTAATACATTCTTGGAAAATATCTGCTTCCTGTTCTCATGAGCCTTGATATTCTGGAGCATACATACACATCCACAACATTAATTACAGGGGAGTGAAAAATATAGTAAGGCATATGATAAGCTAAGAAGCCTGGATACGTGACATGATACAGATATCACACAATATGGATACTTGGATGCAGATTTTCTAAAAAAATATGATATAGCACAACCAAGAAAATACATTAACATATATATAAATGTATGTGTGTATGTAAACATAAATGAGCAATATTCGTAAAAAAAAAAAAAACATTATTAATTTCTAATTATTCGTTAATTTATAAACATATCAATAGTCAAAAGATGATGAATCGTACATTAACTCAAAAACTAAATAATTAACAAATAGTGTATTGGATTGACCAACCAACCTCAGTCCTAGCAGTTAACACATCTTGAAGGTGCTTCGTGGCTCCCATGAGTTTGCTCTTCAAGTCATCGCAAACCGCGGTGGAATGCACAATCCTGTCCTGCGAGTAACCGCCGTCGGCCATGTCCATGTTCTGAATGGTTTGCAAATCGGAGAGAGCGGAGTTCATCGCCGTGATTTCGTTCTTAATCAACGCCGTCAGTTCCTGAATCTCCACGGCCGGATCGTTGAACATGGACGATTTCCTCGCCAGCTGCGCGAGCCTCGCGATCTTCTGCGACGTCTCGTGGATCCCCAACCCGATTCGCGAGGCCTTTCGGTTGAATTCGGATCTCGAATAGGACTCGTGAGAGGTCGAAGGAGCATTCTCGGATTGAGGCGGAGGCGCCGCGCCTCCTCCGATCTTCTTCAGAGTCTCCGACAGTAACCGGAACTCCGACGTGCGGTCACGGTAAGAGGAAGCCATCGGAGACAGACAGGTCCGTCGTTCCAATTCCAAGATCTCATGAAGGACACCATTTCAGTTGACACCTCAACTAACTGGGCCCCACTCCCTTTCACAATCTATTTGGGCCTAGCCCATTGGGCTAATATTTCATACTTAGGCCCAAACTGTGACTCATTTCAGATCTTTCTTCTTTTCTTCACAGCGCCGCACCACAGCCTCCTCAGCGTCGGCGACCTCCGTTCTTCTCCTTCCTCGGCGAGACGGATAGGGCAGAATTACACACACTTAAGGTAAATCTTGAGCAACTCAATTTTTCTTCTCCTTGATTTTTTTTATTTATTTTTTATTCTCATTGGTTTTAAAACGTTTTGGTAGCAGCGTGACTATTTAGCTAAGAACAACGAGGTTGGATTGGTGCTGTGTACTTACAATAATTAATTGTTTCATTATGTGTTGGCGAAATTTACTTGTAATTTATTTGTATGCTAGCTGTTATATTATGAAATTTTGCTTGGCACTTTCTAAATAACTCCAAATTTACTTGAACCTAGTATACCTCGTTGGCCACTTTTTGAATCGTATTTGATGGAAGCTTTTAAGCCGCTCACTATCTCTAAAATTTACTTGATGTGTTTGACGTTGCATTAGTGCAACTCTATTATTTTTCTAGATTATGGGAGGCAATTACTTTGTCATTTATTTTGTGATTTTCCTGCATAATTGTTGTTCTTGTTATGAGTATATATGGGCTAGCTATTCTAAACCTCAAACATGGACTGCAAGTGGAAGGGAAAGCTTCAACTGATTTGTAAGTGTGTTTTGAAGTCCGTTTAAACCAGGTTCAACGGAGGTTTCTCGAATTCCAATGCACAAACGCAGAAACAACTCTATAGATGGATTAACATTCGGTTGAACTGAACTGCTTTCCAAATACACCCTAATGAGTGATGGACATTGGTTATAATGAGTGACAATCCAAAAGAATACTTGGCTTCACTTCTAGCACTTTCACATGTAAATTATAATTATAATCATAAAAAGTATGGAAATGACACTTTCAACACCATGATCATTTCTACCACACTATGTTGTACATTTTAGTAAACTTTGTCGAAGTTGCATGATATAGTCTATAAGAATATATTAGAAAATTCTATTATTGTATTGTGAAACTATTTTTTGTTCTGATCTTTTTTGTTCTTCAGATCAGAGCATCATTTAAATATGGATTTGTCAAATTCTGTAACATGATTGTTTGATTTTGTATTTTTCTAGTCAACCCATTTAACCTCCCACCCATGTGTGTTGAGCTGGGTTGGCTCAATGTTGGTTCACTACTAAAGTAAGTCAACCCTGTAGGCCAAAACCTTTGACAATCTGTGGCAAGCCGACACAATTTGATAGCTCTAGTGATCAGCAACAATGGCTGGGAAATTGTCAAAGGCTGCTTACGATGCAAAGATGTTGAAGCTTCTGAGAGAGTACAGTCAAGTGTTGGTGGTTTCATCAGACAATGTGGGTTCCAACCAGCTTCAGGGCATACGGAGGGGGCTCCATGCTGATTCGGTGGTGGTGATGGGAAAGAACTCAATGATGAAACGCTCTATCATCTTGGATGCTGAGAAGACTGGCAACAAGGCTTTCCTTAATCTTGTCCCCCTTCTTGTGGTAACTCTTTGCTACCTCAATTTGGTATTTCTTGTACCAGAAAATAAATTTGATAACAATAAAATCAATTTCATTTGATTTTGAAGACTGTTTTAATGTTCAAGTTTGTTCCTTTAATCAGGGAAATGTGGCATTAATTTTCACCAAAGGTGACTTGAGGGAGGTTAGCGAACAGATTGCCAAGTTCAAGGTCAAGTAACATGTTCTGTTTATAATGTTCAATAGGATTCTGAGTTGCTGTTATATAATCATGATGTTGCTGTGTGTGTAAAGGGATGTTGGTTGTAGCAGTTTGATCCTTCTTTTGTAATCTTTCAATAATATCTGTGTTTAAGTAAGACAACTTTTTTCTGCAACTGGGTGGGCTTATTCAAACAACTAATAAAATCCAAAAAGGGAAAAGCGTGTGTAACTAAATATACATCTCCAGAGATTCTCGAGTCTTCACTTGTACTGCCGTTCCTTACAAAAATTGAGACCCCTATCCTTCTAAGACACTCTTACGATTCTTTTTCCATTTACCTGAAATTTTCATTGGCTTTTAACCTAAATTGACTGTCTAAATAAGATTATCAATCACAATTTAGGTGATTTGCTGAGGAGTCATGTAGCATAGAAGCTATGTCATTGCAGCTTAGTTTTGCATGTGGTTTCCAAGTTCGCACACTACAATTCTGCTAGTAGGTCCACAAGAAAGTGTCTTTTGCTTCTCAATGCGTCACCAAAGCATTGATCTTCTGTTATTGTTTGTTGATTCTACAGTATATTCTACACTTTTAAGATTTAGCTACAAATTTTGCTAACAACATTTATTATTTGCACGCTGACATTAGATTAGTTTGCTTCAAGTTGCAGTAATTATAAACTTTTTACTAATGTTCACTATTTCCCAAATCTTGATGTGGGTATACCATGGTTTGCATTAGGACTAAACATTATGGTAAATAAATACTCTTTTACTGAGTAGCATGATGGAGATATCGGAATTTTTTCTCTCTTTATTTGACTTACTTTCTGGCATAAATATTAGTCATGTTCTCAATGTGGAGGACTAGCTTCCTATTACTAGACTTCCTATGAGAACATTGAGAAGCCTTATGTTTTCACTAACTTTCTGCAGGTCGTTCAACCTATTCTCATGTGCCCCAAGTACACTTCATATGACACGTACCAGAATTGTTCCTATATGCAATCTGGACAGTTACCTTTGGGCCTCACGTGTTGCAACCAGCAGGCTTCGCAGGCTTCAGAGCCTTTTCTTGTATGCTCAAAATTCATTCCACACCAACATTGCTTCTTGATGAGATCAAGACAGTTCTTGATGACGAGTATATGGTCTCCTCTTCTCCTTTTGGCTGGTAACTTGTGATGTGGATGAAGTATTCTGATTTGGATCACATGATTTATATTACACCTTTCCTTGAGCACTATTGCCTTTCAAACTATATAGTTGTAGTCTTCTCCCTTTTCTGGGAATGATGGAGAGTGAAGGATTTAGATCAGGGTTTCAATTTGGTAATTGGGGTTTCTGATACAAGGATATTCAATTTACCCAGAAGTTTTATCCTCTTTTAAAATAAGGATATGACCTTAACAACATGTTTGCTATCTGAGTGTTCATTAATTTGTCTCATAATTACTTCATGTTATAAGCGCCACTACTTTCACCAATTCAGAACCTTTTAATTATGTTGATTTTTCAGCACTCTTTCACTTTGAAATCAAAGATGAGTTATAAAATTTATATATACCAGTGGGGAGAGACATTAGGTGCCTTTATTATTTAAAAAAAAAAGGTGATTATTGATTAGTTAGAAATTTATGAAAAGTAGATTATATATATATATATCCTTATATATTAAACACAATTTCTATTTTGAATGAGAGTGTTTTTAGAAATTTTTCTTTGATGAGAGGGTTTGTAGAAATTTTTTGAACTTCTTATCTAATTTAGTTTTTATTTATTATGATTATTTATTATGATTATTTATGAATTAAGTATTAATATTTAAAAATAAATTATCAATAATTAAAAATAATTTTTTTGTTTCAATATAAATTATTTTGTCATAAATTTAAAATATAATTTATATGTTTAAAAAATATTTATGTATCCTAATTATATATATATATATATATATATATATATATTCAAATATAATACTTATTATTTATAAAAAAATAAAATATAATTTCTTTGTTTAAAAATATCTATTTATACAAATTTTGAAATATATGATATATATATTCAAATATAATACTTATTTATATGTAATTTATTATAAATTTTAATTGTATTATATATAATAAACATGCTTGTGGATTACACGTATTAAGATGTTACTATATATTAAATAAAACATAATGGAAGAGTGTAATTTAAAAGTTGTTATAAGGACAAAATTATGTATACCAAATCATATTATTGTTTTTGTATATATGTTATAGATAAATTATATATACATACAACACATTGCTTGTGTTTTTATTTTTTCTTAACATGTCAAGATTATGTTATTTTTTAGAGCATTTTCAATTCTTAATTACCTTTAAATTGTTTAACACTTTCATGAACTACTTCGTTTCATATCAATCTTAATAACTTTAGTAATTTTATTTCAATGATTCAATTTTAAGAATTTAAAATGGACCTCGCAAATTACTTCATATCTATACTTTTATTTTTATTTTAACTTAAAATACTAAGTCATTGATATTTTTAATTTTGAATAAATTTTATGAAAGCTATAAATTAAATTGAGTGGTTTCATTTGACAAAAATAAATGAAATTATGATTTGTGTACAATAATAAATGTAATTGCCAATTGAGAAGTTAAGTGTAAAATTTTTTATGACCCAAGCACTATGCAGGCTTAATTGTATTTTATGTTTCTAAAATTTTGATTTTTTTTTTTTGACAAAATTTGTCTCCAAGTAATTTTTTCCATGAATTATATTTTCAAAATTTGTCTCCAAGTAATTGTGTCTTTTTAATATTTTTTCGTCAAAATACTAATAAAATGATGATGTGAATATGTTCCATGAGAGAACACGGTAAACATCTCAAAGTTTGAAAAATAATGTTACATGATAATAAAAAAATTATATAACATTAATTTTATTTATCTTTTAATTATTTTTTTTTATTTATATCAATGTTTTAAGATTTTGTCTTAAACTAATTTGGTTTGATTAGAAATAAATAAAATCTGACTAAAGATCAAATTTGAGTGCAACCCAAATAATTCAACCTTAACAAAAATAATTATTGACTAAACAAAAATAATGAATATTTCTCTTCATGATAAATGATTTTAATTTTCACATAATTTTTTAATTCATCCAGCATAATATGACACAAAGATAGAAAATGGGACATGTGATTTGAATATGTTGAAGACCTGTAGAGCAAAAGTGCCTTTATATAATTTCATGAAAAATAATATCAGGTTCATTGATAATATTTTTTAAGAATTTAATTTAAATATACTGGTATTTTTATATTATAGCTATATTTTATATTTTATATTATCATTTAATTATAAATTATCAGGTAAAAGTGTTGATTTTGTAACAAGAATAATGAATGAAAATTCAACTTCATTTTTTTAATAAAATTTTGTTACTTTTAATTTTTTTAATTGACTTTTAGATAAAGTCTAACATTTTTCTTATAAATGGGATGTGTTGAAATTATTTTCATTCATTTTAGGATCTGTTGAATATATTTGAAAACTTGATGATTAATAATATTGGACTTGGATAGACTACTATTGCAAATCCTCAAATAATACAAAGAGCGAGGTAATTCCAAGTTTTGCTGGTCATTTTTTTTTTATCAAGTACGCGTTATCAAATTTTATTCACTCACTCACATGTTTTTATTTATATTTATTTTTTAACTAGTATTTTAATATGTACACAGACTAAGATTTTATTATATATAAATAAAAATAAAATTATATAAGAAGTTGAAAAAATCTTAATATATTTTTTTGTCAAAGAAAAAATCCTAAGAATTTTCTTATATAAAATTTTGTTTAAAAAATCCTAAGAACATTTTCTTAATTTTTGTTTAAAATTTTTTGCAAGTGATGCTAAATGCTAATATAAAAACGTAAACCCTTTAAAAGTAATTCAGCCTAGTAAGGAGTACCTAAAGTAAAGATATAGTTTTGAAGCCCATTGGGCCATTAGTAAACCATCAGCCGTCCGATTGATTACGACAAACGAATCACAACCGTAGAATTTAGGTCTGGACAAAACCCTAATTCACCGTGTCTTTGCGCCACTATATATATGAACTCAGCATTCTCCAACTTCATCCATTTCGCTTCCGTCCCTTCTCCTAACGCAAAGCCTCCATCCACAGAAGAGGTTAAAGAGACGGCACCGTCTTGCTGTCCGCCTTGACCGAGCCAGAGCTTCGTCTTGGCCCTCAATTTTGCCGCGCAAAACTCTCAGTTCCGTACACCCGCATCATCAGCAATGGCCCCCAAACCTACCAAGGCAGAGAAGAAGATCGCCTATGATTCCAAGCTGTGCGACCTTCTCGAAGAGTATGGCCAGATCCTCGTCGTCAACGCCGACAACGTTGGATCCAATCAGCTCCAGAACATTCGCAAGGGTTTACGCGGCGACTCCGTGGTCCTCATGGGGAAGAACACCATGATGAAGCGCTCTGTCAGGATTCACGCTGAGAAAACCGGCAACAATGCCTTCCTCAACCTTATCCCTCTTCTTGTTGTGAGTTTTACCCTCCTTCGTCTATTCATGCTTTCAGTGCATTCGATTAATCGGAACTGGAGTAAAGTTGTTTAAACTGTTGTATTCAGTGAGCGATTTTTTTTATTTGATTGATGATGGATGCTCTCTTCATTGAATTAGGGCAATGTGGGATTGATTTTCACTAAAGGTGATTTGAAGGAGGTCAGCGAGGAAGTTGCTAAGTACAAGGTAAAGTCTTCTTTGCATAGATTTTAATTTTTTTTGTTGTTCTGTTGATTTTTTTCGTCGTGCAGTGCTTGATAAATTTGATAATGGTAATGTTGCTTTGCTGCCTGTGGTTTTATTATTGTATTTTTTCAGCCACAATAAATTTTTTTATGATGACTACTTAGTTAGGGTTTAATGATGGATGTTGTTCATAGTGCTCTGATTTACCTTTTCGTAAGGTGATAATCAAAGGTTTCATTCTGGTAGATTGTTTCAATGTTGTGTTTTATGATTTGATAGTCCAATATGTTAGGCGAAGTTATTAAGACCTTCAAAGTTGTGTGTTGCATTTAGTTGGTTTGTTGTGTTACATTATATTAGTTTTTTTTTCCTATTTTGAGTTTTTTTTTTGTTGCATTAGTTGAATGTTCATCCATATATGTTCCTATTTATTTGAACAGGTGGGAGCTCCTGCTCGTGTTGGTTTGGTTGCCCCAATTGATGTCGTCGTTCCTCCTGGCAACACAGGGCTCGATCCCTCTCAGACCTCTTTCTTCCAGGTTGACTATCTTGATCTTGTAGAATTTGGGTGTTGTTGATTTTGTTTTATGTTTTTAATAATTATTTATGAAACAATAGTTAAGAATTAATTTTTAGAGTTCAGCTGCGGAAAAAAGAATGTTTTATGAAACACCAAGCAATTGAAAGTTGGTTTTATATTTTCAAATTTGGAAAAGAAATATTTTTTTAAACAGGTTATAAATATTGTTTTGGATGTCATGTTAATGCTTATTCTCTATTAATGGCGTTCAAAGAGTGATTTTGTAAAACAATTTTATCAAATATAAGTTTGCTGTTTTCAAAAGTTAGAAGCAATATGGTCATAAAGATTGTTGTTTTGGATGTCGTTATTGTGCTTATTGTATGTATTACAGGTTCTCAGAAATTTTTTGTAAAACAATTTTATCAAACCAGTTTGCGGTTCTTAAAATGCAAGAAACAACCAAGTCATAAATAGTTTCGTGTTGGATGCTATGTTTATGGTTATTCTCTCTATTACAGGTTTTAAATATTCCAACAAAGATTAACAAGGGTACTGTGGAAATCATTACCCCTGTTGAGCTTATTAAGAAGGGAGATAAGGTTGGCTCGTCTGAAGCTGCCTTGCTTGCCAAGCTTGGCATTAGGCCCTTCTCATATGGGCTTGTAGTGCTTTCGGTGTATGACAATGGTTCTGTCTTCAGCCCTGAGGTTCTTGACCTGACTGAGGATGACCTCATTGAGAAGTTTGCCGTTGGTGTCTCAATGGTTACTTCTCTTTCGTTGGCTATTTCATTCCCAACACTCGCAGCGGCTCCACATATGTTTGTGAATGCCTACAAGAACGTTCTTGCTGTTGCCGTGGAGACTGATTATTCTTTCCCAGAGGCAGACAAGGTCAAGGAGTACCTCAAGGTAGTGGCTTTGATACTTTGATTATCTGTCACTATAATAGTTATTTGTGATTATGTTATTTTTCATTTATTAATTGTTATCTTAATTGCAGGACCCAAGTAAATTTGCTGTGGCTGCTGTTGTTGCACCTGCTGCTGATTCTGGTGCTGGCTCAGCTCCTGCTGCTGCTAAGGAGGAGGCAAAGAAAGATGAGCCAGAGGAGGAATCTGATGATGACATGGGTTTCGGTCTGTTCGATTAGGCTGTATGTTAAGTACTTTTTTACTTTGTTAGAATTGATTAAGTTGGCCTTTTATTTTAGTTTGCAATTTTTCCTGTGTGTTACAGTGAGACTAGTTTTTTAATTTTAAAATTTCCTAGTTGTATTTAATTTTTGCTTAAAATATCTGTGCGTTTTATGATTTTAAATCGTTTTACCTTATAATTTCACAAATTATAATGCATAATTTGTAACGTATGCACTATAGTTCCTCCATATTTTAATTTTTCTATTCTACAAGACTATTTCAACTTAAAACTATTATAAAATTATTTCAGTTGACTGTAAAATTTTTCACGATATAAAAAAAATGCAGTCGACTATTGAAGCAGTTCTTTTCTTTGGCTACACATTGAATAATCCTGCGCAATAAGTTGCATTAATGAGTTTAAATTTGTACCTTTTATGGTTTTAAAACATCATGATACCCGGTAATTTTAAAGATTATATTAAAAATTCTAAATCCTATACCTTAATTTTAATATTAAAAATTCTAAATCCTATACCTTAAGAATTTGGATATCTTACGCGGTAGTGATTCTAAAAATTCTAAATCCTATACCTTAATTTTAATATAGAATAATAATGACAGTGAGATAAAATTGATTTGTGATTTCGGTTTTGTGAACTTTAAAGTTAACATTATTTTACACCTATTTTAACAGACATATAATTCAAAAAAATCTTGTGTATTTCTTCTATTTTTCATTTATCATACATGGCAGCATTTTTACAAAATTGATGTGTTGCAAAATGTTAAACCATCATATGGAGGTCCAAATAGTTCTGGGATCTGTCTTCAAGTTTTGCAAGGTCAGTTCTAGTCTAAGATTTGATTATGAAAAATGATGTTTTAATGTAGATAAAAAATTCTCTCAGAAATGAGACCTGTTTTTGACGAGGTTTATAATTACTTATATTAATACAATCATTTTAAAAAAATGTAAAACAAGTATAATTTAATCTATATCATGACAATAATTTTACAAAATTGACCTCTTTTATTTTTCTTATTTTATTCCTAATAAACAACAAATAATCTCTAATAATTGTAATTAAACTATTTTTAGTATTTTAATCTCATTAATAATTTATAATAAAGATGATTATTTTATTAGTCTATGTTTGGATAGCTGGTAAAGAATAGAAGAGGATGGTATATCGAAGTAGTAGTATTAAAAATATAATTTGTTCGAGTGGAATAAATTTTAATTTTAATTTTTGTATTATTCTTTTTCTTTTACTGCATATTATTACATTTATTTTCTTCATCATAAGTAATCAATGTGAAGGAGATCTTTCTATTTTTCCCCAACTGTATATGAGTTTACAAACCATAAGAAAAAAAAAAGATTATAAAATATCATCATAAAAATATTTTTTTTTTGTCTATGGATATAGTTTACGCAGAATTCTATAATTGACATCAAAAGATATCTTTTATTAGTCAAATATTATTTTAAACTAGAATTCTAAAAAAAAATTTTTTTTAAATAACTACGAAATAACGTGGAGAGAATAAATATTTTAATTGAAATATTTTTCATCATTTGATAAGTTGGGTCAAACAGAAATTTACAGATATAAGTTTCATGTATGTCAATTTCTTCTAAAAAAAACGAGAGGAAATAGCGCAGAGAGAGTTGATATTATTTTTTTATACAATTTTATCCCTTGAAAGTTGAAACTCTCATTCGAAAAATATATGAAAGAGTCTCATTCAAAAATGACTTGGGTCATGTTGTATTTGAATACAAGATAGACTAGTTATTTTATTCGACTATGCTGCATTTTATTTGAATGAGGTCTTTAGAGGAATATTTTTTATTGGGTTGAAAATACCCCCTTGTATTGGAAATGTGAATATAGTTGTTTTATTTTTGGCCACATCTATATCGGTAGAAATATGTCTTATTTGAATAGGAATATCCCCATCAATTTGAATATGTTTTAATTGAAATGAATGGGTTTGGTACTATTATATGTTTATGGTTGCATTATTTGAATATGGGATATATTGTTTTGTTTATGCTAATAAAAAATGAATATAAATTAAAAAAAATAGTATGTAACATTAAAAGATAAAATTCTAATTTTTCTTTAATTATTATTTTATTTTATTTATATATTTAAACTAAACAACTTTATAATATTATTTCTCTTCTATTTCATATTTATTTTTTCCAAATCAAACAACCTCATTTCCATCATATTTCTACCGCATCGTTTCTGGTTATTCTATTTCTCTTCACACATTCGAACATAGTGTAAGGGGTGATGAAATTTAAAACCCTATTCATGATTTAAATGCCTTAAAATCCCCAGCAACAAGCCTCTTGAAACTGACAAGAACAATCCAACCATTTTGCAGCAAGTTTCTGCGTGGTTGACTTGAAATCCACTTCGGTCGCAGAAATAACAGAAAAACATAAAACATGAAAATAAAAACCCTGTATTATCTCCTCTCCAACTTATTAATCAGAGAGAAACATGATAAATGTATAATGAAAACAGGTTCATTTTATAATTTAGAAAATTTGAGTTTCAAGGAGGAATGAAAATGCAATAAACAGTGGAATGAGATCATATTGTGTAATAGAATATAAGAAAAAGAAATGTGATGTGTAATAATAATAATAATAATAAAATAACTATATTAATTTGTTAAAATAAAGAATGGGTATTTTATATAAAAGACTCATTTCTCTACTCTCTATTCATTTCTCTTATAAACTCTATCTATTTTTTTTTACCCATTTTCATAGAAAAATAATTTTAAGTGAGTCTTACCATTTATACTGTGTTTAGTATACAAGAGATAAAAAGGAAATATCATGGAGAGCAAAAAAAAATGTGAAAATAACCTCATTAATTTGTTTCGTAAGAGATGAGTCAATGTAAAAATTTTAAAGAGAGTGAAGAGAGTGAAATTTTATTTTTACACTATTATCCTTACTCTCTCATTCAAATACATGAAAATAAAAAATAATTTTATTCAAATACTATGATAATTTATTCGAATGACTTGTGTTGTATTTGAATGAAGAACAATTCACCGTCATGTTTTTTATTTGAATACATACACTTTGATAAAAAAGAGTAGGGAGACCAATCTAACACAACGTGTTGCATTACTTGAAACTTGTTCTTTTTTCTGTTTTTTTTCTTCCCAATTTTAGAGCTAGTAATGATTGCTCATAACTAAATCTTGGATTATAGTTCTTGCAATGGAGTTATCAACTATTGGTCATGATTCAGTCTTAATGATTTTTTTTAGTTGAAATAAGTGAATATATGTATGTTATTGGAAATTGTTGCTTTCGAATAAATAATATATTCAAATACAATAATATCCATGAAGTTGTTTTATTCGAATAAGTATGTGTTTATTTAAATAAATAACTATTTAAGTATATATTTGATTTTTATTTGAATAAAAATATGCTTATTCAAATAAAATAACTTCAGGAAGATTATTGTATTCAAATAAGCATATTGTTTATTCAAATAAATAATCATTTGAGTATATATTTGTTTATTCAAATAGAAATATTAAAAGATATATTAGTAGTTAATACAATGGTAAAATTGTAAATTTGTTTTAATTATAATTTATTTTCTCTTCATTCATTCAATTTAAATAATTTTTTAATATTTTCTTCTTCTATTTCTTATCTAATTTTTTTTTTCAAACCAAACAACCTTATTTCTGCCTTCTTTTTTATTTTTTTTTAATTTGTTTTACATATTTCTACTTACTTATTCCTCTCTCTTCTATTTCTCTCCATCCTATTTCTCTCCTCAATCAAACATAATGTTATATTTCTTTTCCATTCATTTTTTTGTTGTGAAATTATTGTTGTTTTATTCATCTTGTTTCTTTCATCACTTCCTTCATTTCTTCCCTGCTAATCCAAGAGATGTTGCTAGTTTATAGCCATCGCCTAACCCGGTTTACCACAGGTTTAAGTCAGGTTAAGCTAGAAACATCTAATATGTTTTAGTTGTAAGGAAACTTTGGTCTAACCAACTTACAACTCGCCTACCACGAATCAACCCTTGATGAGTCAAATTGGCACATAGGTTGCGCCACTTAATATATTTTTATTTTTTAAGTTTTCAAATGTTAATTTATGTGATTATATACTAATACTATCTACTAAATTTTGTACATACTAGTTATGAATTATGATAATCAGTGTGAATTTGATATTATTTGTAATTATATTATGTAAAAATTTTAATATTATTTGATATTCTAAGTTCATTTTGGTTGATGTCTATTTTTTCTTTGAGATTTTTTAGTTTATTGTTAATACAATTATAATTTTAAAATATAAGAATATAATACGTATTTTTTTATAAAGTTTAATATTTTTTTGTTATTTATTTATTTATTTTTAATTTAAGTAAATCAATCGCTTTAACTCACCAACCTGTGGTGAACCAAGTTAGGTTATTTTTTTTTAAAGCTCACCTAGTTGGGTTCGGTTTACTTATCTATTGCCCTACCGGTGATGAGTTAGACAGAGTTACTCACTTCGATAACTCTAGATAGTTAATTTTATTTTGGATTTTTTTTTATGTTATGAGCTTTGGATGTTATTGGTGTAATTGGGCTCAAATTGTTTTGTAACGGTTGATTTATTTCTGTAATTACTTTTATTGCACTCTTGGATAATTCCACACCTTGTAACTACATTCGACCTTTTCTCTCTTATTAATATTATTTTATTTGGCCTTCAATTTTGTTTTCTCTACCTTATTTATTTCATATCTTCCTACAGTTTCATCTCCTTTAAAAAATTGGATAAGAATTATAACAAAGAGGAATACAAAATGTAAGATATTGATAAAGATAAATATTATTTATTTGAAAGGTTTGATTCTTAAAGTTATTATACATTTTGATGAGCTAAATTTTAAGGTCTTTATAGATAAAAAAATGATAAAATTATTATTATTAAAGTAAAATTTTTAGTTATAGACCTAAGTTTTATGATTTTGATTATTGAATAAATTATGAAAAAGGTGAGAAGATTTTTTTTTATATCATTGTTTCTTTCGTTCAAATTAGTGATTCCCTCGATAAATCAGATAATTCTTATGATTTCAAGAATTTATATTTATTAATTTTGTATCAAAACATTATAAAAAGAAACAAATCCTTATTAAAATGAAGATGATACTTTAATTTTAAATAATTTTTTAATCTAAATAATATTTTATATATTTAAAATTGATTTTCATTGAAACCGGTGTGCACTTCCCGTCCAAATTTAATTTTTCTTCAAAAAAAAATATTTCTCTTCTTTTTTATTTAGCCCCTAAGTATATGACAAAACTTATTAATATGAGAAGTTTTTTTTTTTTGTTTTTTTTTTAATTTCAAGTTCCGTGACCAAAATAAGTTCAATTCTCAAATGGGAGGTGATATTTATGTCATTTCAATCCTTCTTGTAGGCCTTCACAGGTCATCACACGCCAACTTGAGGCAAATAAACGTCTTCAGAAGTCCAAAGATGTGGGCTTTGGACAAGTCCACTCACCCACTTGATTTTTCTCTAAAAATTATTATTATTATTTAATACAAAAGCTTTTCTTGTGCATAAGTAGTCATGGATAAGTTATTATGGATAAGTATAAAATATACCATTTTATTTTCTCTATTTCTAAATCATTTGTAAAATTCCTTTCGCATTATTTGACAGTTTCCTTATATCCAAATAGATTGAATAGTAGGGCATATAAAGTGTAGAAATTGAACAAAACTTGGTAACTTATTGTTCAATCCTGTTTATAATATCTTTATACAAAATAGTCTTAATCTATGTTCACTTTCATTTTTTATTTCCTCCCTTTGATAAAATTAATAGAATAAAAAAATATTAGAATGATCTCAATATTTTGATAAATTTAATTAACGATAATTTATTCGAATACATGTATGATTTTCGATAAGCAATGGTAATAGTCAAATGTCATATTAACTTCCCTATTGAAGTTGCCAATGGCTAGTGAAATGACAGGTGACAACTCCAAAATGTTGAATTTAGGAGTGTTGTTGGCATATTTGAATACTTCTTACAAGATAAATATTTAATCTATATCAAGGCACACTTCAAGGTTTTTTTTTTTTTTTTTTCCAATTAGAACTGTGATAATAAAAATATCTCTAAGTATTCATGTATTTACCCTAATCTTTCACTTGTATTCCGAGACACATCAAATAGAAGTTTAGTTAATTTTACAAAACTAAAAACTAAAAACAAAAAAGAAAATAGAAAAAGAAACGGCTCTTATGGTTCAAAGTTGAAAACTCAACGCTTGGGTTTCCTAAGTGAATGGATGAAAAGGATTTTTGGTGAATCAAAAAGAGAGACGCGATGCTTATGCACCCGTAGACGACATTTGCATGAAAGGTATGTCCACAAAATGATTCTTAATTAATTGTTGCATGCCAAGGTTGAAATAAGAAAGAATTAATATTTATGGTAAATGACTAAATGGTGATGGATGGAATTGAAGTGTGTGTATCTAATGACGCAATCTTATGTCTAGTGGCCCAACTTTTTGGGCACCATTCATAAAAAGTGGTAATGGAACAAGTGCATGCCGCTATCTTCTTTTCTTCGATGTTCTCTTGCATTCCCCCTTTCGTATTCTTTTAAAACCCAAACATATCTAATACAAACCTCATATTCTACCCTATCTCTAATACGATTCTATCTCTTTTCCTTTTCCTCGATCATCTACAATCATTAATTCATTATCTCTAATATAGTTTGATGTTATCTCCACTTTGGTGCCCTAATTTTGTTTCCCTCGTCTATTCTAATCAAAACCCACTCTCTCTATTTTTATTTAAATTTATACAAATATTGGGTAACGGTGCCAAAAAGGACCATCAAGAGTGAAAATAGGATGCATCATTCATCGTAGGTTTACATCCTGACCATGTATGGCCTATTCAAGCTAGCTTGGCTTAATTGGAGGAAAAAAAAAACTAGGTTTGAACTTTTTAAAAAGTCTTTTTAGTTAAACAAATTAGGTGACGGGTATTTAGAAACGTTTATTAGATTTGATGAATAAATTTGTTTATAAATAATATGATTTTTTAATAAACTATTAATATATAATATTTTTTTAATATATTGATACTATGAAATATTTATCATTTTTTTAATAATTAATTTTTATAAGAGAACTAGTTATTTTTATTAAGGTTGCTTTTATCGATCACATTTTAATATATAACATTATATTATTATTTTAATGATAAAAATATTTTTTTTTTTACTTTAACATAACTCGTAAGTATATTATTTTAAATGATAAACCCATAAATCTATTGATATTTTTTATTATTAGAAAAAAATTATAACTATAACAATAAGTATTGAATCAAATTCTTCAAACTTTTTACTCTAACTCTTTCACTAGATCAATTCCATTGATTTTCACAAATACATATTGATTTGTTTAACTTATTTCTATTAAGTCAATCACTCAATCTAAATATATATAAACTAATGAGTTGGTCTAATAATTAGACATATCTGAAGATCATCTATTTAACAAATAATTCATGTTTAATTCTTGTTGTATGTAAAAACTTGTTGAATTAGCGACAATCATAATATTACTAGTAAGATTAATCTATAATTTAGTGACTAAAAATGTCTATGATAAGACAACAAGAAAATCTAAAATATATATATATATAATCCATATCCTACTTGAAAGAAGAAGAAAAAAACTGCTTGGATTTAGATTATAATATTATTAAGCATATTATATCTAGCTTAGATAAGATTTAGCCTAATCTAACATGTTTTCGTTCATTATGAAAGTATTATAATTATTTATGATAGAGCAGCCTATAGAATTATGCGTTGTCTCATGGTGAGCTTGAAAATAGGCATGGCCATTTTTCCATAATAGCTTTAGCTGGTTGTTTAGGTGCTCATTAAATTCTGTGAACACACAAATAGGCCACCATTGACTAACTAAGTCAAACAAATATCCACCCCAAAATGGTAGTTGCTCAACTTCCCATTATCCGCATGTTGATGAAAATACGAATAACAATTCTTAGGTAAAGGGAAGAGGATTGGGGTCCATGAACCATGGCTCTTGCATTACATGATCGAGTATATGACATGACATGACATGACATGACATGGGGTGGTGCCTCCACGTGGAACCATCCAAAGCAACCTCATCTGGTCGACAGGGTGGGTGTAGACACGTGCTCGCCACACTACGTTTATGGGGCCGAACAAAAGTACCCGTGAGTTGGATTAGTAAAAACACCATCCCAATGCGAATGGGAATGGGACAAACCCATTACCCATACATAACGGCCTAAAGCAAAAGTTGGAATCAGATAACTTTATCTTTCTACCTTATTATTAGGTTAGGTTTCCTCACATTCGATTATTATCCACTTCGGGAGGATGAAATTCCAATTCAAAATGAAGCCGCACAAAAAGTCTAACTCGATCGCACATACACATGGATCGATGTATTGAACGAAAAATTAGAATTACAAGGTAGCAAATAGCATAATTAATACTCCATGTCACTAGTGGCATTGTCAATATATGATCATGATTGAGAAGAAGGAATGTAAAATTGGAATCCAGGTTCCAGCCTACACAAACTTGGCATCTAATTTGGTTTGGCCTACTTACGATGGCATGAGACGTAATTTTACTCTATTTGCTGTCCCAAACGAGTAACTTGGGTATATGTTGAATTATGAGGAGTCGGTGCACTGAAGGAGGAATCTATGAAGCTAGATTCCCTCTCCTCTACATTACAACATCTTACACTTGAATGGGTGCAAGTACAACCGTCCTATTTTTTATTTATTTTTTTTAAATTATTGGAGATGAAACTGATCAAGTAGTTAACACTTGACAGAGCCAATCAGCTTTCTTAGATTTTTCTTTACAGTTGACTTTTATACTAGTTTTAGTATTAAAGGGGTTGTAATTTTATAATCAGAGTTTGGGTCATTTAAAGGAACTTGTGTACTTATCTTTTGGTAAATTTAGCCATTGTAGGAGATGTGCATATGTGATTTTGGTTGAAATTAATTGTATTTTATTTTACGCCCGTATCCATCTTTTGTATTTTATTTTATTTAAAAAAGTATATCTAACAAAGACCAATACATTGATTTTAGAAAAGGATATGCATAAGCATTTGAAATTTTGGATAATTTGAGAGAGGAAAATGAGGATTATTGGTACTATTGTGCACGTGGAAGAAAGGGATGAAGTAGGATGGCTCGAAGCAAGAGAGAAGAGGAAAGTAGGAAAGTGAGGTTGTATGATATGATATGAGTCCAACTTGAACGACTCCACTACTGCTCAATTTTTTCACTCCAAACAACACATTAACCTTCCTTTCTTGTCCTTTTGCGCTCATGGATAAGCTCCATGTTATTCTTTTTCCTCCACCACACTATTGAAATACATGGACGTTAAATGTAAGTCAAAATGAAGAGTATATATATTGTTTTTATGATTTAAAAATTGAAGAGGGTATTTGTTGGAGGGCATAGGCAGTGGCACAGCTAGCGCCGCGACTTTGATTTGAAATTCCTTGTTGTTCATTTGTCTGATTCCACCCTCGGCCTAAGGCCTCGGTCCACACGTCTTTCTCTCTCATCTTCATATAAATACATAGGCTTGTATCTTCCATTCTCAATCCACTCCAATTCACAATATCCATCACTTTCCAAAGTCCAAACATGGTTGATCTAGATTGGCAAACAAAGATGGTTCGCTCCAACATACCTCCCAAGTCCCCAAAGCTCTCTCTCCCAGATAACAACATCCCAATCCCCGCTTTGCAATTCCCCCTTCCCCTTCGCCAAAACGACATCACTGCAGCATCCCCCCCGCTCTGCACCGCATACGACAACTACCTCCGCCTCCCTCACCTCAAAGCCCTCTGGGCCTCCAATCACTTCCCCAATTGGTCCAACGAGCCCATCTTAAAGCCCACCCTACACGCCCTCGAAATCACCTTCGGCTTCCTGGCAACCGTTTTATCAGACCCCAGACCCTACGTCAACAAGCGCGAGTGGACCCGTCGCCTCGAGTCCCTCGCCACGGCCCAAATCCAAATCATATCATTCCTATGCGAAGACGAGGAGCAAAACCCCCAGACACGTGGCAAGGCGCCGGTGAGCGACATTAACTCCATAGCCATAACCACGGGGACGCACAACAGATGCTACAGCGAGGAAAGCATGCTCCCTCGCCTCGCCACGTGGCAAAAATCCAAGGACGTAGCCAAGAGGATTCTCGCCACCGTGGACTGCCAGATGACGCGCTGCACCTACACGCTGGGCTTGGGAGAGCCCAATCTCGCCGCCAAACCGATTCTCCGTTACGACGCCGTTTGCACGCCCAGGGAGATTCATCTGCTCCAAGCCATGGACGACGGCGTCGCCAACTACGAGAACAAGACGGTGCGCGCCACGCACCAGATCGCCGAGTGCTGGACGCGCGCCGCCGGGAAGCTTCTGGAGAGGGTGGCGGAGTCGGTGGAGAGGAAAACGCTGGAAAAAGCGGCGTGTGAGTGCGAGGCGGTGGAGCGGATCTGGAAGTTGTTAACGGAGGTGGAGGATTTGCACGTGATGATGGATCCGGAGGATTTTCTGAGGCTGAAGAAGCAGCTAGGGGTGAGGAGCTGGGGCGAAACAGCGGCGTTTTGCTTCCGGTCGAGGGAGCTTGTGGAGGTGGCGAAGGCGTGTAGGG